GTGATACCCGCAGTCTATTTCATCCAGAGATGTTGCATATTCAAATGTTCAATAACATGGATTTATGGACCAAATTAGACTTGACAAAATTGTATCTAATCCGAAAATTTTACCCAATCCATCCATTATGGGTCGAATGATGAATCTTATGTGTTAATCTGAAATTTGAAATGATTCATGTTGAAATTATCCGAATTCAAATGAATTGGGTCACTGGTGGATCGGATCATCCAAAATGACCCGAATTTTTATTTATTTATTTTTATTAGATTATTTAAAAATTAATTTTAAAATTTTAATTTCTTGATTCTAAAAATAAAAATAAATAAAACATCAAAACCCTAATCTCCTGTCAATTTCTCTTTTTCTTAACTTTTCCTCTTCTCCGCTCTTACTCTCCCCTTCTTCATCTTAAGCTCTTTAATCCTTCTTTTTGGTGTCATTTATGTAAAAAATCAAATTATATGGCACATAATGAGTTTTGTCATATGACCTTGTCAAAAAAATCCTTTAAAAAAATAGAAAGCAAAAATGCCTATTAAAAATAAAAAATGAGTGGTTGAGGTACTTTCATCATCATTAGAAGCACAATGACAAGAGCATCAAAAACATCAAGATCTGATCTTAATTGCTAATTTGTTCTAAATTACTAATTTATTTTTAATTAATAATTTGTTCCTAATTAATAAAAATTAATCCCAATCCAATTTCTTCTTGTATTTGTTTAAACATATTTTAAATTTACCTTTTAAACTTTATATTAAATAGAGCTATATTTTTTGTATAATATCTTTCTAGATATTGACTAAAATTGTATTTTTTGTATAATACCTTATAAATATTGAATAGATACTAGGTATTAACATATATATTGGATTTTTCTTTTGAACTCTAATCCTTCATACCTCTTCTTTTAATGAAGGTTAGTACCTTTATAAAATTATGAATTTTAAATATTGTATAGACATTATATATTTGACATATATTTTAGTTCTATCTATATAAGTAGTAATCTTTACATTTTCTTTTCTTGAGATAGGAATGAAAATTAAATCATAAAATGAAAATTAGCATTTAATAAAGTATTCTTACTAAATAGTTAATTAGTATTAGATTTTATTAAAGAAAAATAGAGGAAAATATAAAAAAAAATTTAATTTTAATTTTTTAGAAGTTAAGTCCACCCGACCCACTCCAAGACCCGTGTGGGTGGGTCATAGGTCATGGGTCTACCCCTTCAATCTGATATCCGAAATGACCCAATCCGAAAAACTTAAGATCTGAAACGACCCAATCCAATCTGTTTGCCAGGTCTAGACCAAATTAAATGCATTGGATATAGATTAAAAATTTAGTTATACACAAGTTTTACATTTCATATTTACATAAAATTTTAACAATTCATCTTTTCATTTTCAATTGTCGAAATTTATCATAATTTTTTATATTAAAAAAGATAATTATCTTTAGTAAATCTCAACTATTTACAATGAAAAAATAAGTAATCAAAATTTCATATAAATATAGTATATAAGACTTATATATCAATCAAAATTTCATATAAATGTAATATATAAGACTTATATATTAATAAATCTTAACTCTTGCATATATCATCCTCATCCCTGAGGAAATCAAATTTAACTAGGTTTTTTTCCTACTGGATAATATAATTTTAACCAAAATGTAAACAATATGAAAAGAGAGAGAGAGAGAGAGAGAGAGAACTAGGAAATGTAAACAATTCTAAAAAAAAAAAAAAAAGTCATACCTGAAATATATGTATATGGACATTTTCTGTAAATTGAAAGTGGGTGAATTTGTTCATGTTTTCTATTCGAGGGCTGATTTCGAATTGTTTAATAAGTTCAGTAACAGACTTTTAATTTTTTTTTTCCTTGTGAGTTGGGGAGAATGGAGTTTCAGTTGCACACTTTTCCAGAAATTAAGACCATTTCTGGAATGAAGTCAATAACGAAATCCTTTCTTGATTTATTTCCTTGAGGGTCGTCCTTGTTGGATAAGCAAAACATTTTTAAAGTATGATTATTTGGTGTTTTATTCTCTACTATATAAATGATAGAAAATCTAAGGTTTGTAATGTACACAACAATGTCTTCTTCTCCTAAACATTTTGTGCTCCTTATCCTTTTAGGGCTCTTCCTAACAACTAGTGATGCCCGTGGTCTATTTCATCCAGAGTTGTTGCACGTTCGAATGTTCAATTACATAGGTCCAGATATCGAACTTAGTCTTCATTGCCAGTCAAAGGACGATGATCTTGGATTACAAAAGATTCCCTACAAAGTTTCATGGGGATTTAGGTTTCACAGTAATCCTTGGGGTACAACACAATTTTACTGCAACTTTGCATGGCAAGACCAGTCCCACTGGTTTGATATTTTCATTAACAAGAGAGACTATGACTATGACGAGGTGGAAGCACATCCTTGGTATTTATGGACAATCCAACCCGCTGGCGCTTGCAAATTGAATTATAATACCAATATATTTGATATTTGCTATCCGTGGAACCCACCTCCTGCTTAGGGATACTCATAACATGATCGTAATACATGATCAATGTGTGCACCCAAAAAAAAAAAAAATTGATCAATGTCAAAATATTCTGCTCATCAAAACAAAAAAATAAAAATGATGTAAAACATTCATTTTAATTAATATAATAATATGCCCTTAATTTTCTTAAAAAATTACATATTCTGCATCTTTGATAGGCATAAATAAATATATTTATTTTTATGAAATAGAAATTTTATTAAAATAATGAAATTGATATTATATATAAATATTTATATTGTGGTCTATGATTAAAGTAAAAGCAAATTCTATAACATTAAATATAAATAAAAACTATATCTATGATGAATATAGTCAAAAGCCATTTGCATCAAAAAATTACAATAACAATAATTGTAGGAGCATAATTAATAGAGCTACTAAAAGTAAAAAAATGTCGCCACAAACATCATAAATTACTGGGCATTCTTAGCTGCTATACTAGCTTTTGTGGGGAGATTAAGTAGTTTTGCAAACGATGGTCTCCACCCATTGCATGCGGTACTAAAGAAGCTAGCAATGCACTAGTCCAAAGGAAGGTTGGAGTCTTCTTCATGGATCCTTAAGCCATATCTAAATTAATCTAAAAAAGAGTTTAAATCTCAATCAACTTCGTGATTATTCCACTAAAATATTAGTCATAAAAATGATTTTACTAGAAATATTAGAAAAAACATTGTACAATTTTAATTGCAAAAATTAAATTATATTAAATAAGAAAATAATTCTCTAATATTAAAAATTGTAAAGGTTGATAGTAATTTAAAGTCAAACAAAAAAACAGAAATCTTTGAAAATATTCATGACACTATGAACATACCAAGGCCCCAAGGGTTGGTTCCTCTTAAAATCGTCTTATTAAGCCAGGTTCAAATTCCATAATTACACTAATTTAATATGATATACAAACTTAAAACCACATGAAGATTAATGTCCTGATGCACAAAAGCTCACTACTTGTACAGGAGAGAGAAGATCAGCTTCGTGGCTGTCGTTAACCTCGAAAAAACAGGTGTCGATAATAGAAGTGCAACCTTTTTTAAAATGGTTTTTTAAATATGTGTTTTATAT